AAGGCCCCTAAGCCCTAAATCCTGAACCCTGTAACCCTATAACCCTTAAGCCGCAATCAGAAATCCTGAACCTTAAACTTTAAACCCCAAACCCTCTAAATCCGGAAACCCTACACGGGTCCAAGCGCTTCATTGCTTGCCTCGGCTTCCCGAGCTTTCTCGGCTGCCTCAGCGTTGGCCTTCGCGACCTTGCGAGCTGGGTTGGGCTCACCTCAACCCTCGGTTTATTGTAGGGGCCGTAATAATTGGAACAGGGTTTTGGGTTTAGGGTTTAGGGTTTAGGGTTTATGATAGTTATAATAGAATGGGCCCCAAACCCTATTCTAATTATTAAGGCCCCTATAAAAGGCTGGTAAGGCCTGGGTCCAGAGGCTTGCCTGGAGCCTGGAATCCAGTAGCTTTGCTTGTAGCTTCTCATGAGAGGCTCCACACTATAGACGAGGCTATACTGCGAAAAAAAGTCACTAGAATCCAGTGTCTAGGGCTTAGGGTTTAAGGTTTAGGGTTTGGGGGTTTGGGGTTCAGGGTTTAAGGTTTAGGCCTTAAGGTTTAGGTACAGGAATTTCTTTAAAAAGGGGACTTCAGGATTCCAGTGGGCTTTGTTTAGGGTTTAGGGGGTTGAGGGGGTTTGGTAGAGAGTTTGCCATGATGGCAATCAGTGAAGGTCCAAGGCCCTTCGAGATGGAAGCCTGGAGTCCCAAAATCCCTAGATCCGAACATAATAACATGGAGCTTCGGGCTTCTGTTTAGGGCTTTTTTTGCCTCCTACTTAGCAAGGACGAGCCCTGTTTAGGGTTTAGGGTTTTAGGGTTTAGGGTTTGACACTCACACTCGGACAAGCCTGTTTACGCTCTCGCAACTCGGACTCCGCCAGACGAGGTCTCTTGTGTCCAACTAGTCCAACTAGTGTCTGCTGCTACAAAGTCTAGCGCACGTGCTACAGGGTTTAGGGTTTAGGGTTTTAGTTATGGATGTTTTGTTGAGGGCTCTTTTCCGTGTGCACGTGGGTACGGCCTGCGGAAGCCTACCAGAGGCGAGCTGGTTATGCCTTGGGGTATCTTTTACTATAGTTGTAATAAGGACCCACCCCCC